CTTTGGAACGGTCGTTTTTGCGCATTTTATACACTTTCTGAACATATGACAACAGCTTCCGCCCCATCTCGTCAGTAACTGACGTGAGGGGGGTACCCCGCGCGTCAAAATCGGACGTAGAGGGAACCTTGCAAAACGTCAATATGTGACGAGTTGGGAGTGAGAATGGGTTGATTTCAGTCACGACATTAATGGACAAGGAGGAAGAGATATCTTGCATTTTAGCTTTAAAAGTAAAGAAAATAACATACGTTACCCATGGTCTGAGCTACCCTCCCACAATTTCTGTGCTTTCTGAAAGTCCTTGTTGTCCCTTATTAATGTATCATATAGTTTCTGTTTTCTAATCTCTTCTGTGAGATTATACAATTCCTGACAAAAAGTCTGGAATCAGCCGTCTCTGATGAGCACTCATTCAGACATTTCATTCTGTAAAACAAACTCAGATCAAAAACATGATACAATAATAAGGTCATTCCAAAGTGCAACTTGTTGGCTTTCAGGAACACTCAAAGAAATGAAGAGAAAACATTGTGGAAGTCAGTGAGTGGTACTTTTATTGACCAAGCACAGGGAAAAAATATGGAATCTCTCAATTCTAGTCCCCTTTGCAGAAAATCGATGTTTTGTTCTCTGAATGGCCCGAATGAAATGTTTCCGTAGAAATCCTTGTCTGTGGGAGAAATCCCAGACGGAGCAGTGAAGGAAACTAGAATTGAGCGGAACTGCGTAGGAAGACAATGGCCAGGCTAACTCATCATTTGCCTTGACCATGAAGTAGTATTCAGACAGACCGGTACAGCGCCCGCATCGCTGCAGATGTAGCACAAATCCGCCAGTCGATCTCCCGTTCCATTCTTCCCTCATTCATAAACAAGACCCCGAGATACTTAAACTCCTCCACTTGGGGCAGGACCTCCTTCCTGACCTGGAGATGGCAGCCTAACCTTTTCTGGCTCAAGACCATGGTCTTAGATTTGGAGGCACTGATCCTCATCCCAGTTGCTTCACATTCGGCTCTGAACCGCTCCAGTGAGAGCTGGAGATCATGATCTGATGAAGACAATAGGACCACATCATCCACAAAAAGCAGAGATGTGATCCTAAGGTCACCTAAATGGATCTTCTCAACACCTTGTCTGCATCTAAAATTTTTGTCCATAAAAGTTATGAACAAAATTGGTGACAAAGGACAACCTTGGTGGAGTCCAACTCTCACCGGAAATGAGTCCGACTTACTACCGGCAATGCGGACCAAGCTCTGGCACCGGTTGTACAGGGACCTAACAGTCCATATCCATGGGCCTGGTGCCCCATACTCCAGGAGTAGCCCCCACAGGAGTCCATGAGGGACACCAAGTCCACAAAGCACATATAGACTGAGGGTGTGGAGCTGGTCCATTATTCCATGACCAGGACAAAAACCACACTGCTCTTCCTGAATCCGAGATTCGACTATCCTATGGACCCTCCTCTCCAGGACCCCTGAATAGGCCTTACCAGGGAGGCTTAGAAGTGTGATCCCCCTATAGTTGGAACACACTCTGCTGTCCCACTTTTTAAATAGGGGAACCACCACCCCTGTCTATCAATCCAGGGGAACTGGCATTGGTTATTATGGTTACAAAACTTTTTTCTTTTAACTTTTACTTCCATTGCACCAATAACATCTCCCTCTCTGTAAGGCCTTCAGTACTCCCACAAGGCATTTCTTTAAGTGGTATGTCATGCAGACAGCAAAATAAATGTGCCATGGGCTACATAACTTTGGTCATTTCACCATTGAGACTGAGGTGAAAAGGATATCATACACAAATGTGCATTCTGGCGGACCTTCATATTGTCCAGCCAGTCCAAAGGCTACACTTGGCCATGTTTTAAGCCAGTTTCCGGCAGATGTATAGGTCCATATGGAACATGTACCCTGTGAGTAAAGCAAGACTCCACAACTTTTACCCAAACAGGATTGATTTACCCCTAATTAGCTGCTTGCAGCCGTTCAAGCAGTTGGGCATCATGCTTTCAACATCTGATAGCTGTTTTGTGTTTGGCATCATCTTCAAGGAATGAAGATGGGCCAACCTTAAAGAAAGAGTCATCTGTGGCCTTTGAGGTATCTACCAGATGAAGTGAGGCCATTGTCTCATTAAAGCTGTTCCATCTTATTGCGTTTGAGATCTCCGTGGCACAGAACTACAGTATAGCCAGATGTGAACAGAATCCTATAAACAGTAAGTTATCTATGCTCAGATCAAGTGCTTTTCCTTTGGTTTGATTGAATAGGTATTTGACATCCTAAACAATGAGCTCCCTCTGAGAGGAAACAAACAACAGTTTAGTCTGTAGTCTGTGCTGTAGTTGAGCCATCCGTTACAAAATCTGCCATACTGGATGAGGCTGGTTGTTGTGATCTTTTAAAAACCCTGTCCCTATTTTGCTTATTTAAAATTTTTCTGTGTTTGCTGTATTACAGGGTTTCATTTTCATTGAGCATGTCCTTTTTCTTGGTTCTGGGGTCTCATTTTCCTCAGAGCATCTTTTTTTATTTTATTTTATTTATTTATTTATTTTATTTTTTGTGGTCCTGTTTTCCTGAAGGCATGTTCTTCTCTGTCTGGCCACTGCAGGAAACACCATGAGTGGATACAATGGTTTTTTTTTCCAACTTTAAATGGTGAAGAAAGGAGAGGTGGACCAGAGCAGTTGTGGGAGGTTCTGGAAGGGTCTAGGGGTGGATTTGAACTTATCGGGTTAATATCTTTAGACTTAAGGCTCCCACATACTCGGGCATGCTGAGCACATACCATGAGCCACGCGGACTCCGCGCACATTGTCCGCAAATGTTTGACACTTAATATTTAATTCACAAATTCTTTAATTTCTCGCAAATTCAGTCATGATGTCAAGGATCAGAAGGAAGAGATAGTTTGCATTTTAGTTTTAAAACAATAAGAGAAAAAAAGAAAAGAACTACATTACCCAGGATCTGATTTCCTCCCACAAATTTGTTGCTCACTGGTTATATTCCTTTGTTGACGCGTCATAAAGTTTTCTAATCTCCTCCATGAGACACTTTTCAAGATTTGACTCCATTTCATCTACAAATGACACCGATTCTCAACTTTATCAGCTTGGTGTTGCAGCCAGAACAGTATGTGCCATGGTGTGCACCGCGTATGCGGACGTAAAAAATTTATCTCTGCACGTATCAGTCTGCGGATGTCCACTTCGAGTCTGCAGTGAGTCTGTCTCGAGTCCGTACGGATCTCCGCGGACTGAAGTACGCCCGAGTATGTGGGGGCCTTTAGGGTTTTCCCAATGCTCCCAATGCAGTTTCACTCAGCTACTTTGTCTTGCCTTGTCACCTGTCAGCAAACTGTACTTAACTCACCTGCTTCCACCGTCTAATCAGCTCCTCCTAACAGAACAAAGCTCCTGGTTTTCATATAGACTTTGTCAGATTCTGTATGTATCTTGTTTTGGTTCTGTCCTGGTCTGTTTTTCCTTGCCTTCCTGCCTGGCTGTCATCTACTGCATAGGGTCCTCAGGTGACAACAATCCACAGACAGTTTGTTACATTTTTCTCTTAACAAGGCAAAGTTTTCTTGTTTACAGCATATTATGTGTATTTATCAATTGTCATTGTTATATAAATAAAGTTTTGATTGACTGATGGATTGATTGACTGAATTAATACCAAACACTACTAAAATGTGAGCCCATTCTCATGCCCTCCGCGTCAAAGTATTGACGCTTGACCAAGCATCATTATGTTGACGTGCGGGGGCTACCCCGCGTGTCCATTATGTACGAGATGGGGCGGAGGAGGTCGATGTGTTTTTATGACTAGAAATACGCTAAACTAACCATCCTAGACCCAAAAATTTACATCTACTAGCCTCATAGAGCCTAACCCTGACCACAGACTATAAAGTTAACCATTAACCCTGATCGCTCATGTTAACCACAGACCCTAAAATTAACCTTTAATCCTGATTCCTCATGTTAACCTCAAATGTCACGCTAACTCGGAAAAGCCGCGGGCGGCAAGGACGGATGCGCGCCAACATATAGACGCTCAGGCGCGGAGTCCGACATGAGAATGTGTTAAAAATGTTGGCAGAAAAACTGTGCTCAAGGCACATTAAAAAGGTTGTTTTGTTTACCAGCTACAACTAAATGGAAATGTCTTCTGCAGGAAATAAACATTCTGAAGATTAAGACGACATGGAGTCAGAAAAGGTAAAAGAATGTCTGAATGATTTGAAGAAGATTTAAAAAGAAGTGCGGTTATTTAACTTTTAAAATGGCATATGCCCTGAAGGTGAGTACAGATTTAGTAGTCTTTGGCTGAGGCCTCAGAAGGCAGATGGCAGGGTGACGCAGAAAAGGACGGAGAATCTAAAAAATGAAACAGAGATGGAGGCAGAGTTATGTGTGTGGCAGCAAGGCGGGACAGCTCAGACATTTAAAAATACCATCATCTTAAATCTGAAGCAGGCCTCTCTGTGCGCTGCTCTGTCACTGGAAGTAAATCAAATAAACTAATGTCTCTGAGGTCATCACAAAGTCTTTATAAAGTGTAAACTTCTGGCTTCAACTGTATTTTCGGTTAACGCAGAGCTCCAGTGCAGGTGCCTCCGTTGTACAAACTTACAGAACAGTTGTGTACCCCTTGTTCCGTTCACACATCAGGATAAATGAAAACAAACGTATGAGAAAGTGTGTATCGCCACACAAACATTTCAGTTGACAGTATCAAACTATAAAGTACTAAAAGCAAAATATGACTTCATTTGGTTTCCTGCATTCTAGGAGCAATTGAACAATAGGTTCTCAAAAGTTTGAGCATTTATGCTTCAAATCCAAATGATGAATCCAAACCCCATTTAACCTCAGAGCGAACAGCACGCTTCAAAGCACTTCAATGTACAATCCAACAGAAACTGTAAGGAAGGTTTGATCATATGAAGACAGAAACAACACATCTGTGACCACATGCTTGTGCCTTTAACTGTCAAAGAGGCGTGCCTATGAGCGTTATCTGACTACTTCCTGAGTGTCATGAAGGTGGTTACTGGTATCTAACCAGTCCCACCTCAGTGTCTCCGAAAGGTGTTTTGTCAAACTCGCTGTTCGTCCAGAGATATTTCATCATGTGAGGGCTTTTGTTGTGAGCACTGTAAAGGTTACTGTGACACATGGACTCAGCATCACCTGTGCTACTCACCTACAGCTTTCAGGGAGGTGAATTTGTTCAGTCCCAGAGTGCTGTGGTTACTCTGTGGATGAGAGAGCGTTTGTCCAACCGGTCCATAAACACAGTTATTCAGCTGATATTGTTCTGGAAAAAGACAGAAAAGAACATCAAGAATGAACAGTAACTGCAGATAAATAAAACAATAAAAGCCTTACAACAGAGAACGTGTCATTTTAAGGCCTTTAGCATTATCACCAACAGCAGAAAGGCAAAGGCAGACAATAATGTTCTCGTCTGTGATCATGTTAACAAAACATCTCACATTTCACTGGATGATTTCTCAAAACTTTCAGGAATGTCACTAAATCAGGGGTGCCCAAACATTTTCCCTGAGAGGGCCAAAATAAAAAAAAACACTTTCCCTGAGAGGGCCAAAATAAAAAAAAAACTTTCCCTGAGAGGGCCAAAAAATAAATAAAAAACACTTTCCCTGAGAGGGCCAAAATAAAAAAAACACTTTCCCTGAGAGGGCCAAAATAAAAAAACACTTTCCCTGAGAGGGCCAAAATAAAAAAAACTTTCCCTGAGAGGGCCAAAATAAAAAAAAAACATTTTCCCTGAGAG